TGGCTTGAACCTGGGAGGAGGGGGTTATAGTGAGTCAAGATCGTGCCACTGCACTCCAGCCTTGGCAACAAGAGCAAAACTCCATCTCAAAATAAATAATAAATAAATAAATAATAAAAATAAAAACGTTGCTGACAAAGCCAGTAGCATCATTAAAAAAATAAAAAGACAAATTTCAAGACACTTTCCAACTGAATTTATAAGAAAGTCCTCTTGCGTATACTGCTTCTTCCCTTCAGATTAATGAAAACATTAGGATTTATAGAACACAATGAGCACTGGTGATGTGGCCCATGGTAGCTGAATTAGATTGAGCATAAAGAAAGTCTTCACATGTTAGCAAAGGGGCCAACAGAAGAAGGGCCAGGAAGCCACTTGAAACTCATATCCATTAAAGGCCAAATGAAGTTTATTTAATTGCTCCCTTAGAAAGATATTATCCCATTGCTTAGCCCTCAAAGTGCTCATACTGCTGCTTTCCTTCTTTATATCACCAGTTCTGGGAGCAAACCTCCTGGAAGAATGGGATCATAGACTGTAAGCACAAGACTGTGAGTACAGCCAAGGGACTCTGATGCTCTAGTTTTTGTGTCTAAATACTGTCAAATGTCCCTTGTGATGCACAATTACCCTTAATGGAGAACCACTAACCAAAATAAATGAAATAATATGTCATGTTCATGCATCAGAAGACCCAATATTGTTAAGATATCAATTATCTATAAGTTGATCTATAGACTCAATGCAACCTCAATCAAATATCCCACTGACTTTTTGTCTACATTTACAAGTGAATTCTGAAATGTACATGGAAATGCCAAGAACCTAGCACAATGAAAACAATTTTGATTGAGGAGAACAAAGTCGAAGAATTTGACTACATGATTTCAAGACAGGTAAAGCTACTGTAAGCAAGTCAGTATGGTATTGGTCTAAAGATAGATAAGGGAGGCTTAGGCAGGAGAATTGCTTGAACCCAGGAGGCGAAGGTTGCAGTGAGCCAAGATTGCACCACTGCACTCCAGCCTGGGCGACAGGGTTAGACTTTGTCTCAAAAAATGATGAATTAAAAAAAAAAGGTAGTTAAATAAATCAGTCAAACAAAATAGAAACCCAGATACAGACAATTACATAGATGGTCAATTGCTTTCAACGAAGGTGTTAAGGCAATTAAATGGAGAAACGATAGTGCTTGTAACAAACAGTGTTAGAACAATTGTACGTCGACAAGCA